TTTTCTTTTTTTCCCCTCTTTTCTCTTTTTTCTTTATCCACATTTTTTTTTTTTCTTTTTCCTCTTTTTTTCTTTTTCCCCGAGCTCAGTTTCAAACATTTACAGTCCTCTGGCACCATTGCCTTTGCCAAGTATGGTCAGAGGTTTGCGGCCACAACCCCTCCAATTTCCACCTTTGCTTCCCTCAGTAACCGAGGGATGCATCTCATCTGGATCTTTTAGTGGAGGACTGCCAACCTTTTCGGCTCATCCTCTTTAGATGGGACGGAACTCATTGCACGTACTCCACTTCATTGGGTGAAGCTGGCTGAGAGGTGTGGGACTTGGGGAAGGATCTCACTCGCCCTCTCGCCCTTCTACATAGACATGTGAACTCCCTCGCTTTATTGAGAGCACTTGACCATGGCACTTGCCGTGTGTTGGCACCACACTTGCCTCAGTTTGTTGCAATGTTGATAGTGCCAGAGCAATCCTTGCAGATTTTGATGAGAATGGGAAAAACATCAGATCTAGAGAGGTCTGAGTCTGTTGTTAAACATGTCACTACTGGTGGCTAGATCAAGTCTGACTTAGCCAGCATGTACAACCAGTTGTCTGAGATGAAATATCCATGTTGAATCTGCTGTTACTCGGGACTGCAACTCACCTGGTAAAATGACTGAGCCTTTGAAGCATTTACAACACTACAGGAGCATTATTGGACAAACTTTGACACAACACCACATTAAGATATATTCAGACAGGTGTCCAAAATCTTGGTCAAAGAGGTAAATTGTAAGAAGCCTCTGAAAGGAAGAGAGGGGGTTTAGTGCTAGAAACCTAGGCAACTGAAGTGGACTGAAACTTGAGTACAATGGCTTTCTTGGCAGTTTTTGTTTCCCAAGTCAACTGAGATGTGTCTTTGTTTATTCCCTTCAGCTCATCCTCGATTTTGCAACCAGCTATTTGCAGGACTGGATCATCATTCCTTGGTTGGACGTTATATAACAGAAACCCTGAACACAAGCCAGTGAGCAACATTTACTGATGGTCCAATCCAAACACTTGCAGTGGGTATTATAAACAGTACCATTGATTTAGAAATTGGAGAACATAAAGCCCCTTTCCTTGTTTCCCTGTTCCTTGTCTCTTTCCTACCACCTCTTTCTTCAGATGAGGTGTCTGCAGGTTTGTGCCAATGTTAAGGTGCCCATTGGCTTCTTTCTTTTCCAATTGGTTTCATACAGATACAGGTCATGTATCCCCATTTTCCCTATATATTGGTGGTATTGTAGAATATTGTGTCAGCCATGGTTCAGTTGGTAGCACTCTGTTACTTCTTACTGAGGGTAGTGTGCTGGAAATCATGCTGTGCTATTCATGGAGTTGTCCCAAAAGTTCAAGATTTTCTGAAAATATGCTAAATTCCCCAATTTTCCTGTATTTTAAGACCCAGGTTAACAGCACAGTTCAAAGTCCGTACTTAACAATGACTGTTTACTTGTAACTATCACCTATTTATTTGAAACAAATAATAATTATGACCTATTGACATAAACTGTCTACCACTTAAATCTTTAGTCTCTTGTTTCAAACTGTGCATTCTGACTTCCTGGTTGAAAGCAGGAGCTTACAGCAATGAGTAAGGGAAAATAAACTGGCTTTCTTCAGGCATTTTTTTTAATGCAGAGACCTTCCATAGTCAGAAGGCTTCTGGCTATCTCATTCATATCCACAAGCTGTTCAACTTCTTGGGAGCCAATCACAGTTGTTGACAGGCAGAAGACCTTTGCCGCTGACAAATGGTCACCACTCCACAGCCCAATCAGTTGTCTATTGCTGGCCAAATCTCATTTTGTATACATCCCTTGGTGCCAGTTGTCTGCAACTAATCTTTCCCCTCACTAGTGTAAGTAGTGCTTACATTAAGTCCTAGTTGTTCACTTTTCAAAAATGTAGCAATTCTTTCCACAGTCCTTTTTTCCCATTTCAGTCTGCTGTCTTTAGAAGTGCAAGACTGTGTGGACACAAGTCTTCGGGAAATCAGGGACTCTCACTTTACAAAGACCTGGGCTGATGCTTCAGTGCTGAGGGAGTGCTATGTTGAGAGAAAGCAGTGGAGCTATCCTGGCTGACATTTATCCCTGAACGAGTAACACAAGATGGTTTGGTCATTACTGTGTTGTGGGAATTTGCAGAGTGCAAATTTTCTGCTGAGCTTCCTGCACTTAACAATGGTGACCACACTTCCAAAAGTATTTGACAGACTGCAAAGTACTTTCATCCGCCCCCTTTTTGTTTTTTGTTCATGGGATGTGGGTTTCACTGGTTAAGCCCGCGTTTATTGATTATCTCTAGTTGCCCAAAGGGCAGTTAAGAGTTAACAACATTGTTGCGGGTCTAGAGTTATATGCAGGCAGATCAGGTAAGGAGGCAGATTTCCTTCCCTAAAGGATATTCTGGGGCTGGAAAATGCTACAAAAATGTAAGTCTGTCTTTTATTTTTGTCATTTATCCTTTACCTCTAAATCAAGTGCAAGGACTTAAAAACACTGACGTATCTGGGTTGTTGCCGTTTCTGTTAAATGTACTAAATAAGATGGACCTCTCTCATGGAAGGTTTTACCAATTATTCTCATGCCAAGGACTCCTTCAGGTGTCTGTTTCATCTCCCAGGGCTGTATGAAGGTTCCCCAAAGCTTTCCAGTGCATTCTGCCTATAATATGGCATTACATAGAAGCAACAACATACACTGCCCTGTGTAGGCTATTGACCTGCACGATCGCTAATGCTGAGGTTTTTTACCATTTGTCGTGCAGACCTTTTTGCCTTAGGTTGTTTATGACACTGCAGACATTCCGCGCACCCATGCTCATTTGATTCTCTGATGTTCAAAGACAAACTTTTATGTGGCTATGCATTTTAAGAACATCTTGTGCTTATAACATCTATACTTGTGCCCTCTTGGCACAGTATGGCCAAATGGCACCATGAAGACAAGACTCTGCTGCTGTAGGAGGGTTTCTGCTGTACAGAGTTCTTGTTTAGCAGGTCTCCATGCCATGTTTCCCTCACTTAAAATTGCATGTGCTGGAAATTGAACCTTTCGATAGAGAGGGGCACTCAGTGAGATCCTGGTTTTACTGTACAATACAGCACATGAACAGGCCCTTTGGCCCACTAAGTCTGTGCCAATTCTAATCCTTCTTTAGACCCGCTACTTATTGCCCATGCGTGGTTTCTATCCCTCTGTTTGCCTCCCCTCAGCAGCACCACTTTTTTTTTTTTTTCTCTGATCTACCTATTTGAGATTCATCTTCTGCCTTCACTGTTCTCCAGTAATATAACTCCATAAGTGTTTCAGTCTCCAATTCCCTCCTCTGCTACACAGGAAGCCCTGAGCTACCTGAAATGTTCAGGCATTCTTTGAGGTTTGGAGGGGCCTAGTCTGATGTTTTCTGCTCTTGGTTGTGACCAATTATCAGTGTTAAGAAATGAATAGCAGTTTCAACAGCAATATTAGGATCCCAGCGGGACAATTTCTGCACTGGGTCAGATGCAGGGTCATGCCCCCTCTACTTTTTAATTTTTAAACTGAAATAAACGCTTCCTCGATGGTCCCCATCAACGCTCCCAGGACAAGTACAGCACAGGGTTAGATGTAGAGTGATGATCCCTCCTCCAGTGTTCTGGCAATTTGCTCTGTTCCAACTTCAGAATAATCAGAGTTAATGTTTCGGGTTCATTGACCCTTCTTCAGAATGAAGGGCCTTCATTCTGAAGAAGGGTCACTGGACACAAAACGTTAACTCTGTGATTTCTCTCCAGATGCTGCCAGACCTGTTGAGATTTTCCAACAAGTTCTGTTTTTTGTTTCAGATTTCCGGCAGCTGCAGTTCGTTTTGTTTTTCTTTTTCTTTGTGTCTACTGGATATAGATTTGTGTTCTTTCTCACATGCTACCACCCTCTTCCCATCCCATGCCTTGTGTTGCTTCTCTACTCCTTTTATTTTCTCCTTTCTTCCCTACTCCCTATAATACCATTGCCTGCCTTCTCCCATGCTTTTCCCTTGCCTTGCTGCCTCCATTCTTTCACTGGAATGTCTTGCACTCATTTCATGCTTCTTTTTCCCCTTTCTCTTCTGTTTTTACCCCCCCCCCAAAAAAAAACTATCCCAGATATACCTATGAGATTGCACCAGTTTTTGTACTGATGGAGGAAGTGGTGTTGAGGAAGCTTCGTACGTTTGTTGGATGGAAGTGCGGCGATGGAATTTTTTGCCCAGGTTAGTGCCACAATTCTAGGAATGTGACATACAGTCAGATTTAAAACAAAGACTCCCAAATCAATCTTTCAACCCTT